TAGTTGTTTTTTTTTTTGCTTGTATTCCAAAACACTATAAATCCATTTCAATAGTTTTTAGGAAAACTACATTTTTTACCTAGACCCACACATTTTGTGAATATTCAAATTAAATGTTTTATTGGTTCAGTCTGAACATGTTGAACAATGATTATTAAGTCAAACAACAATATTGTTAATGATAAATTAAAAGTTATTTTTTTTTCTTTTTTTTTTTCAAAACGCTAAATAAACGCATTTATGTTTAATAATATTATGTTACTTATTTTTATTATTTCGTCTATGTTGAGTAGGCTATATGAAAAGTGAACCGCATGAGATGAGTAAGATAGGATCTAAAGCTACCCAATATATCGGAAAATATTTGTGGGTCAGACATGATTTTGACCACCAATTAAGTTTTGTTTTGTAGAAAGCTTGTAAATTTCGTTTCAGATAAATTCTATCTTCATTTTAATTAATGTTTCATCAACAAATTGACTGGATTAACACATTATAAGTAAATATCAGACAATAGGCTATAATCAGGACACAGAGGCGCGTGTGTGAACTGGAGCGTGTCTCATAACCGAAACACCGCGATTCTTGCCTGCGAGAACTAGAAAGCTTTCAAATGTCTACTTTAAAACAAAACATTTAAAAACGAAAATAAATTGGCAACTCTCTGCGTAAGTAGGCTAATTCGAAGTAGCCTATGCGTTTAGGCCTATGCGTGTTCACTGTGAAGGCGAGTCAGCATCATCAACTTTATCTTTGCTGCTGACACCGACAAAAAAACACTAGTATTAGAGTTTAGAGCAGCATGTTTGCAACAATAACACAGTCAAACAGAATGTAAGCCCTGTGTGTGTGTGCATGTGCAGTTGTGTGTGTGCGTCACACGTTAAATGTTTTAGAATGTAACACAACATTCAAATGCAAATATGCACCCTCCCCCACTTGAAAGGCCGTGTATCCACCAAAGTGTTTTTCCACACGCCTGGCGTATATGTTTTCAATTGTTTTCAATGGGAGCACCGCGTTTTTTTAAACGCTATGAGCGTACCTAATCAAAGCAGCTCCTGAGATGGCTGGCGTTTCTAGTATGTCGTTTTTTCTTCGAACAATTCAAGAACAATGTAGGCTATAGGCTACAAATTGAACATGGTTCATTTTTTGTGAAACTTTAAAACTGGCCTTTACTTTTCTTGACGATTCCTCGGTAGCTTTTGTTTGAAGGCATTCAATTGCTCCAAAACACTAACGTTAGAAACATAACTGCACTTTATCACAACGGATTAATAAACTGTACCCACGAGTTCCTAATCCGTGCTCTTAGATTTTTAAACCGTGCCCTCAGTTTTTGCAATCTGTGCCCAAAAATTCATAAACCGTGCCCACGCTTTCGCAATCCGGACTCGGATTTGTGGCTCGTCCCCCAGATTGTGCCGCATGATTCAACCAGGCCTCCTGTTTAGATGCGGGATGCATTGCATTGTTTTTAAAATCCTTTTTTAAAATGGATAATTTCTTGTATTAAAAAAAAATAAATACATTTAGGATACTTTTATCTTTAAAGTAAATTTTTAGAGGAAAAAGCTCAGTAGCCTACTATAATAAGCGAAAAAATAAAAATAAAATAGGCTAATAATAACACACAGTTCAAAAACTGCAAAAGGTTTGTTTATAAGTTATAAATTATTTTATGTTAAATATATTACTGTCTTCGGTGAACTCATTCATAGTAATAAACGTAAATAATAATTAGCTAACAAATCAAAATGCATTTAGGCTACCCTATTTAGAAGACGCTTTTTAATCCACAAAAAAAAAGAACAAAGCAATTCGTCAAATGTCAGTCTTAGACAATAATAATGGGCTAAGATTCTAACAAACAAACAGGTTTTTAAGCATATCCAACTGTTTGTGTGAAGCGCGCACATGCATGTCACTGCCGCGGCCGCAAACACTTGCATGTTCCTATCAACAGTGGAACAATTTAAAATAATCTAGCGGGAAAAAAATACGTAATTATTTGCAACTACTTTTATTTGTGTAAACTCACAATAACAAGAAAACGTCGTTATTTTTCAGACACATTTATTATGATTAGCCTATAAATCACCTATAAATCATCTCACTCTATGCTTCCCGGGACATGCTCTTCTCATTTAGCACTGCAAAATATAGTTTTTAGAAAGTAAAATCTATTTTTTTTTCATATTAATTTGTGAATATTTTAAATGTTTAATAAAGGCAAAAAGTCAATGTTATTTATTTTTTTGTGCACAAACACTTGGATAGCCTATGCGTCAAAATCTTGTGTTTAGGCCTATTTGTGATAATCTCAGCCCTGTTTTATTATTGTCTAACCTGTATTATGACTGACATTTGACGAATTGCTTTGTTTCTTTTTTTCTTTTTTTCTTTTTTGATAAAAGCGTCTTATAGGCCTATCTAAATGCAGTAGGCCTATGTAGCCTAAATGTAATAATAATAGCATATTATTATTAGGCCTATTATTTGCGTTTATAACTTTAAATGAGTTCACTTAAAACAGGAATATGTTAATCATAAAACAATTTATGAATGTTTTATTTGTATAGGCCTATAACTTTGTGTTTGTGTTAGGCTATATTTATTTATTTATTTTTTTGTAAGTAAGAGTCCTTTTAAAAACAATGCATCCCGCATCTAAACAGGAGGCCTGTTTGAATCATGCGGCACATTCTCGGGGACGAGCCACAAACCCGCGAGTACGGATTGCGAAAGCGTGGGCACAGTTTATGAATTTGTGGGTACAGATTTACAAACGGTTTACAAATCTGAGAACACGGATTAGGAACTCGTGGGTATGGTTTATGAATCCGTAGGCACGAATTGTTAAACCGAGGGAACAGTTTAAGAATCCGTGAGTAGCCTACAGTTTATAAACTGAGGGGACGGATTGATTTGTGATTTCACCGGAACGAATGAAACCTCCACAACTGATTGCAGCGTGCGTCCGATTGAAGACAACACATTGCAGCGCTAGATGAATGAAACGAATGCGGTTAGCTTTCAAAAGTGGTGGGGACAATATCGACACTGTCAAAAAGGGACATGTCCCACTCTTACAGGCTAGAGTGTTAACCTTGAATTTATCTGCTACCTCAGCTCTCAATGAGAAGTGGCAAATTAAGTCGGACACTATAAGTAGGCCTAAATAAACAGTTAATAAACTCGCTAATAAACAGCTATCTATTTAAGCTTCAAGAACGGTAGGCTAAAACATAAAAGCTGTCGGCCAACAGCATGTAACGAGGTTCGATCTCACGTCGTTTGGAAGTCGATGAGGTTGAGGATGATGCGTTAACCACACAGCTATCGCAAGGTTGAGGATGATGCGTTAACCACACAGCTATCCCAATGTTGTCTTATACGATTGTAAAGCCTCATTGATGTACCTAATATGTTTCGACTGCAATGTTTTAAGGTTTCATTATCTTTTCAATTTAATTTCAGTATTGTGATTAATTAATTAATTTAACAACGTTTCACTTGAATTAATCTACTACCATCTTTCAATCGCTCTGAAAGAGCCGCGGCGCAGCTGAAGATTACACAAAAAACGGACACTTTTCAAAGTCTGTGATTGTAGCGCCTCTTAGCGGCCAAAGGTAGCAAATACACCTCAACTTTTTTGAGTTTTTTTTTGAGCGCAGGTTTGCCGCGGCGGTAAAAACCACATTCTGGTTGTCTACCTACTGTAGAAAAAAAGGGTGTCATAGTCATAGTAAGTTCAGAGTTGGTTCATTTCTGTTGTAAAAAAGTTATTAATTGTGTTTATTTATACAGCAGCTTTGGAGAAAACAGTGATGCCATTGTCCAGTTCAGTTCTCATATAATGGTGTCAATGCTGGCAGATTAATATTATTGTTGAATATTAAGTGTTTCCAACTAAGCAAACCAAAGGCGACTTTGGCTAGGAACCAAAACTTCATCGGGTGATAAAATGGAGAATCCAGTTCTCCTCTGGCCAACGCACGAACAGTGTATGATTATGATTCAGGCACAATTAGAAGTCAGATTGAGGTCAGATTCGATCAGAACATTCAGAATATTTATCCAGTTCCATGTGCTTGAAGATCGGAGTCATCACACCGGTATGAAGATGTGTTTGTTGAAGATCAGTGCCGATGGCTGTCGTGTTGATGAGAACTTCACAGGAGAGTCTAGTTCACAATCTCTGCTCAGGGATGCATTGTGGTCGTGTCTAGGCTCAGATCCTTCCTCTGATCTGGATATGGCTCGTACTCGGCTGACTACTGTAAACCTTGGGATGAACAGAGAGACTAATATTAGCATAGATACCATTCTTCTTATGATGTAATGAGTACATCGATTCGGGTGTCAAAGGAAGGCAAGGTTTTCCCTGTTCCGGCTGAAAACCTTGACATGGTCTTTGAAAGTACATCTTGTATTTAGCGTTAATGTCCTCAATGGAACATGGCCAGCCTTGTTTCTAGTATTTACTCTCATTTACCACAGCCACATACTGTAATTTGTTTTATAGATTAAGGTTTTGCATGCATTACTGAATCATGCCTTTGTGGACAATCTCCAGATATTATAAACAAATATTTTAAAGGAATATTTTGGCTTTATTTCAAGTCAAGCACAAATGCATTTGTGCTATGATGATGCTGACCATGGAAATTATTTGACTTACAAGAAGTAAATGGTCGACTTTGAGGATTTAAAAGGAGAAATGTGGACTTTTCCCCCAACTGTTTAAATTTAGAGTCCTATTCCTTTTCATTTTGAATCATAATTGTTTACCAGTTTATAGTCATGACAATCGCATTAATGTTCATACCAATGTGCCTTGCTTTAACTGAGGGACAAATGAAAATAATACTCTTTGATAACCAATATGGTTCTGTAGGCAACATCATAACTCATACTGAACCCAGAACATTCCTTTATCTGGGACTAAGATTATTATTATTTATTTATTTTTTATTTTTTGTCTCCTGAAGGGTCTCCCTACATATGACACCCCTGAGGTGTTTGGCCTCCACCCAAATGCAGACATCACCTACCAAAGCAAACTTGCCAAGGACGTACTAGACACTATCCTGAGTATCCAACCAAAGGACAGCTCCAGTGGAAGCGGTGAGACCAGGGAGGCGATTGTGGGTCGGCTAGCGGATGACATGCTGGAGAAACTGCCTCCAGATTTTGTCCCATTTGAGGTAAAGTTTCAGACTGGATAACAATGATGCAGCAAAATGTATGGTTGATAGAGAAAACTCAGAGCCCAATGGGAGCAAATGGCGTTTGCTGTCTGGAGCTTGAGTCCTGTGGGGACATTCTCAGGGTTGACGGATGGTGTTGAGGTCACAGATGCCTGTGCTAATGCTTTTTTTTTTTTTTGGAACTTAGAAATGTTTTAAAACCCAACGTCAGTTGCTTATGAAACATACAGACAGTAATTTGCTGTTACTCCCCTCTGATTGTTCGCCAATTAACGAGGCAGCAGAAAGAAAAAGGTGCCTTAGGGTGAAAGAGCGATTTTTGCTTTCATTATCTCTCACAGCGGACTGCAGAGAAGCAGATTTGTCTCAATCATGAGCTTTCCTAAAATATTTAAAACCCATGCCCTGCTTTCTGGCAATTTTGAAACTCTATTATTAATAACAATAGCAAAAAGAGTGACTTTAGAGTGTAAATAAAACATTGTGCTTTCTGCACCTACCATCCTGTTTACCCAGATCTGAAATGTGCTTCCAATTATGTCATGATGCACTTTACATTAAGCTATCACCACACATAGAAAGATGGCATTAAACTGCAATTCATTGAAAATAGTGTTTTTATACATTTCCGGTTGTTAGCAGCAGAAAATCATGCAATTCATGGAGAAGAGTTTTACAACTGCAGTATAAAAAAGAAACACTTTTGGCATTTAAGAGAGCCGATTTGGCTGTCTAGATAATGGTGGTGAAGCAGTAGAATATGTCAGATTTCAGTAGTCTGTTGCCTAGGTGCTCAGAGGACTCAAATTGAGGAGTTGCGCCCATGTAAACTGTGTCAATGCTAATATTTGTCACTGTCTCCTTTACTTGATTAACAATAAAAATTAATAGATCTAATAAACTAATAAATGACACAATAATACATTTAAACTGCATCATTTATCCAGGTCAGAGAGAGATTGATGAGCATGGGTCCCCTTCAGCCCATGAACATTTTCCTGCGGCAGGAGATTGATCGCATGCAGAGAGTGATTGTTCTGGTCAGGAACACGCTGAGTGACCTAAAGTTGGCCATCGACGGAACCATCATTATGAGTGAGAACCTGCGAGACGCACTGGACTGCATGTATGACGCCCGAATACCTGCACGCTGGAAAAAGGTTAGAGTCCATTGCCTGCCTTTTATGTGTCAAATGTAGGACATACTGTCATAATTCAAGTCTGTCTTCCCCTGTCTCCTCTCATGTTTTCAGTTCCCCATTAGTTTGATTAGTCTCCCCAGGTGTTTCTTGTTAACCACACCCCCTTGTTATCTTGTCTAGCTAGTTTTCCCCTGTATTTATACCCCTGTAGTTTAGTTGTTCCTGGTCAGTCGTTGATGTTACTGTCTTGCTGTTCCGTGTTCCTGCTCTGAGTTTCTGGTTAAGTTAATTAAATAAGTTCTGCACATGGATTCTCTCTCCACTTCATTCCTTGCCCTACGTGACACATGCAATGTACACATCAAAAACACAAACCCAGTTGGGAATAGTTTTTAAACAAATGAATTATGACTTAAAGTAGCTAGTGTAGATATAAATGTCCTGATTGATTTCATTAATGTTCAGTCATGGTGTATATACCAATTGGACTATCTACATTCCTTAGGATATACACTGACCTAAAGCATTATTAGGAACACCTGTTCAATTTCTCATTAATGCAATTATCCAATCAACCAATCACATGGCACATTGCATCAATGCATTTAGGGGTGTGGTCCTGGTCAAGACAATCTCCTGAACTCCAAACTGAATGTCAGAATGGGAAAGAAAGGTGTTTTAAGCAATTTTGAGCGTGGCATGGTTGTTGGTAGCCTGGCTGCGCCCTCCTACACACTTCCGCTCAATTTCATTTTCCTTCAGTACTACGTCTTGGACTATATTCTTAGGTTTACAGAAATATATATATATATATATATATATATATTAATAATGCATTATACTAATATACAGTATATATATATATATATATATATATATATATATTAGTGCCTTCAAACGATTAAAATATTTAATCGCGATTAATCGCATTAATTTCATAGTTAACTCGCGATTAATCGTACATTTTTATCTATTCTAAATGTCCTTTGATTTCTTTTTTTCCTTATTTTAATGCTCTTGTCAACATGGAAAAGTGGATCGGCTTGTTTAGTGCAAATTTTATTATTATTATTATTGAAAATAACATTACCCAGACAGCAAACTGACATTGAATCAACGTGGAAACGACGTCTCTCATGACATTGAAACAACGTTGATTTTGCTCATCGAATTAACGTTGAACCAACGTCAGACGCGTCATTCTTTCAAAACTAACGGAAAATCAACTTGAAATCAACGCGTTGTTTCAACGTTATGAAAGCAAACCAATTTTCGATTTTCATTTAGCTTTGAAGAATGCCACGTCTGACGTTGGTTCAACGTTAATTCGATGAGCAAAATCAACGTTGTTTCAATGTCATGAGAGACGTCGTTTCCACGTTGATTCAATGTCAGTTTGCTGTCTGGGTAGTGTTCAATTTCAAACTAACATATATACTGTAAATAATCTCTCACACAATGTAACATTGTCTATCAATAAAAGGGTGAAAGAAATACTGACGAGGTCCTGATATTGGCGAGGGGGCGGAGAATTCGCATCATCTGTGTGTGTGTGTTTGGCCATCATCAAGTGGTGTTTCAGACTGGACGTGCTGCGATGATGATCGCTCAGTTCACAATGACAAAACACACAGATCACTTGGTCTTGTCAATGGGACAATTTGGCAACTTTTTAAAAGTAAACTTTCCATTCAGAATCTCAGGGCATCCATTTCGGCGTCTCGCGCTCGTCATCCACTCAAAATTTAACGTTACTATTTGGCCGGCTCGCAAGCCGAAACGAGTGTGTGCGGCACAAAACGTCCTCGCGCTGCGCTCTGAACCCATTCATTTCAATGGCTTGCGCTGCGTGAGGACGTTTTGTTGCTTATTCGACCAAAGAGCAAGCGAATCTAGCTAGACCGTAAACAAAACAACAGGCACGCCGCAAACACACGTTTGGGCTTGTGAGCCGGCTTTGAGTGGATGACGAGCGCGAGACGCCGAAATGGATCAGGATGCATGCCGCGTCCTGTTGCAAAAGCATGTGAAAAACCTACAAAGTTTGCTAAGACAAAAAGACCGTTAATCGCGCGATAAAAAAAAATAACGCCGTTAAAATTTGTTTTGCGTTAACGCCGTTAATAACACGTTAAACTTTTTTTTTTGTAGAAACAATCAGCGAATAGAGGTAGTGGCTGAGAACGATGACGTTGTGTTAGCTTGATGTCCAGTTTGAGTTCAGTAATGGTAGCGAAGAAAGACGTGAGACAAGCTATTCGGTTCGTTGTTGGAAAACTGCCTAATATACAGAATTTAAAGCCGGAGCAAGAACAATGTTTGCTAAGTTTTGTTGGTGGCCATGATGTTGTGGCCCTCCGGGGTTCGGGAATAGTTTGATTTTCCAGCTCACTCCGCTAGTGGTGAATGAGTTAGCTAAGGCGAACGATAGCGATGCAAGCCAATGTTTGTTTTCGTCTCCCCTCTTGTTGCACTAACAGAGGACCAAGTCAAGGAGAAAAGTTAGGAGTTTGTGCTGGGCAGCTCAGTCTGCATGATGACTGTGACATTTTGGATGTATGCTTTAGCCTGGTGTTCGGAAGCCCCAAGTCCTGGCTACTAAACTGTTGTTGAAGATGCACTCAGGAGCTCAGATTCCGAACAGTAAATTTAGTGATTCTTGTGATGAATAGAACATTTCGAGCCCCTTTGTGTACTCGTGCAGGAGCATGGTTGTTGTAAATCATTAAAATTTGTTGTAATTTTTTTAAATAAATGTCATAAAAAATGTGAAAAAACATACTTTGAAGACCATAATATGAGTTTCAGTTTTGATGTCAATTGTTAATTTGTTATTAATTTTTAATATAAAAAAACTAAATGTCATAAATAAAAATGTACAAACACATACTTTGAAGACAATAATTAATTAAGGTATTTAAGAAACAAGACATAATATGAAAAAATGTTGTTTATTACACATCTGCTGATAGAGACAGATCATTCACTGTACAGCATTTGCGGCAGATCTGAAATGACCGCAGCGGCGTATTTTTAATGATTAGACCCACCTTCGACAGTTGAATGAATACATCACTGTCCTTAGTGTCAAATATACATTTAGAATTAAAGGAACAATTATTAAAGCGTTCAACTTGTAAACACTGACTCTGTACTTCCGGCTACGTCGCCCGTGACCTTTTGAACGTAATTACGTATTATGTGACGTTACAAACGCGCCTCAGAGAATATAGCAAGGCTAGCATTTGTCCTTAGAAAAGTTACATTTTTGGAATAAGTTTTGAAATAACCGATCGTTTCTCATGAAAAGACCCTTATTCATCGTCTGGTGTCGTTTAAAGACATTTGAAGCTGCATCTGAAACTGTTATTAACACTATCTTTTGGACCTTGAACCATCCGGTTCCCATTGAAGTCCATTATATGGAGAAAAATCCTGGAATGTTTTCATCAAAAACCTAAATTTCTTTTCGACTGAGGAAAGAAAGACATGGACATCTTGGATGACATGGGGGTGAGTAAATTATCAGCAAAAGTTTTTTCAAAAGTGAACTAATCCTTTAATAATTGTTCCTAGATTAACAAAACCTGCAGCTCTCGTTGACAGACGTCTTATTGTAAACATAATCCTCTGATCATTCGGACTTGTTGTTTCCGGCCGGTTTCGGCACATTACATCACAATCACACGTTAGATCCTGAGTGACTCTGGGCAGAGCCAATAGTTTTGAACTTTAACAGAGAACCCGCCTACAATGAAGTAAACGTTTCTCAATGGAGAGAGGCCAGACTCTCTGTGCAAATGAAATCTATGAGTCTGGTTGAACCAGGCTAGGTTGTTGGTGCCAGACGGGCCGGTCTGTGTATTTCACAATTACTGGAATTTGCATGCACAACCATTTAAAGGGTTTACAAAGAATGTTGTGAAAAGGGAAAAACACCCAGTATGCGGCAGTCCTGTGGGCGAAAATGCCTTGTTGATACTAGAGGCCAGAGGAGAATGGGCAGACTGATTCAAGCTGATAGAAGAGCAACTTTGACTGAAATAACCACTCGTTACAACCGAGGTATGCAGCAAAGCATTTGTGAAGCCACAACACGCACAACCTTGAGGCAGATGGGCTACAACAGCAGACGACCCCACCAGGTACCACTCATCTCCACTACCAATAGGAAAAACAGGCTACAATTTGCAGGAGCTCACCAAAATTGGACAGTTGGAAACTGGACAAATGTTGCCTGGTCTGATGAGTCTCAATTTCTGTTGAGACATTCAGATGGTTAAGTCAGAATTTGGCATAAACAGAATGAGAACATGGATCCATCATGCCTTGTTATCACTGTGCAGGCTGGTGGTGGTGGTGTAATGGTGTGGGGGATGTTTTCTTGGCAAACTTTAGGCCCCTTAGTGCCAATTGGACATCGTTTAAATGCCACGGCCTACCTGAACATTGTTTCTGACCATGTCAATCTCTTTATGGCCACCATGTACCCATGCTCTGGCTACTTCCAGCAGGATAATGCACCATGTCACAAAGCTTGAATCATTTCAATTGGTTTCTTGAACATGACAATGAGTTCACTTAACTAAAATGGCCCCCACAGTCACCAGATCTCAACCCAATAGAGCATCTTTGGGATGTGGTGGAACGGGAGCTTAATGCCCTGGATGCTCTGGACAAATCTCCATCAACTGCAAGATCCTATTCCATCAATATGGGCCAATATTTCTGAAGAATGCTTTCAGCACCTTATTGAATCAATGCCAAGTAGAATTAAGGCAGTTCTAAAGGTGAAGGGGGGTCCAACGGTATTACTATGGTGTTCCTAATAATCCTTTAGGTGAATGTATCATAACATTCGATTTTGGAGCTAGTTTTATATAATGCATTTTGAAACACCATATCTGTACTAATGTTCCCATATAGTTTCCCTTTAGTTAATGATATTATATATTGTAATGATTGTCCTATAAACTGTATTGTTAATCTCTTATGAGCTGTGATGAGCTGTGTCATCTTGAATGTGAAAAATCAAACCCAGAGGTGCAGGGCTTAAGTTTCTTAAACACCTCGTCAGCTCTCCTGCAGCAAAACAGCTTCATTTAACTCTGCTTTTCAAATGCTCCTCAAGCCGAACCAATCATGAGCTAATTGAAAATGCCTGCTGAATAACAATCAGGCTGTAACTTACCTTGCATCTGCACACATGTGTTTATATGTGAATTTATAATGCCTGTTTGTGCGTGTAAATGCCCTGTTTTGTACTTTTACACTGTTGGCCTGTCCAAAATGTATGGTATTTTTGTCTCAAGCTAAACAAATTAAACAGTTTTCTTTGAACAAAAAGGGACAAACTTTTTGTTTTCCTGACAATCTGCAAAAAGGACAAAAACATCATCTAATAAAAGAACCATAAAATTAGTCCATTTGACTATATAGACTATATTCCAAATATCTGTCTTGATACAAAGATATTGACTATAAAATCTTCACACAAAGAGCTCTTTTACTTTATGGTGTTTGTAGTCAGTGCTTGACAGCCCAGGTCAGGGTAAAAATCCTGTGTGTATCTGTCTGTGTCAGCTGGAGTTCAACCATCAGCCATATGTCTCAAGCATCCCTCTAAGATCTGGATTTGCTAAGTGTCACTCTGACTTTGTACGTGTTAACTGTGGTTCTGCTCTGCTGACCTTCTGCCGATGTGTGTGTGTGTGTGTGTGTGTGTATCCAGGCCTCCTGGGCTTCTACCACATTGGGGTTTTGGTTCACAGAGTTGCTGGAGCGTAACCGGCAGTTCCACTCATGGATTTTTGAGGGACGACCCAACTGCTTTTGGATGACAGGCTTCTTCAACCCACAGGGCTTCCTGACAGCTATGAGACAGGTGGGTAACATGAACACTTCTGCTTAACGCACACTTGTACTCATTTCCCTCCCGATCTGTTGATCTGATCGTTTTTCCTCAACAAGTTTTAATTTTGTCCTTTAGGAGTTAGATGTTAACCCTTTAAAGCCTAGAGTATCTTTTTATGTATATTTGATATGCAAATGTCTAAGGCCTTCAAATTATCAACAAAACCTTGATAAACAACATGTTGTACACTATCTGCTACCCTCTGATAGTTTATAAATTTTTCGCAATTAAAAGACCTTTTAGTTAAAAAAAGTACACAAAAAGTTATTTTTATAAAGTAAACGTACGAATAATTTTGAAACTGTTAGTAATATTTCAAGATAAACATTTACTGGAAGCTACTTTAGGTTTATTTGATTATCCATAAATCCTGTTTTCATCAAAAAAAAAAAAAAATGATTTGCATGAAAAACATGATTGATGACAATAAAAAAAACGATTGTCTTTCAAGTATGATGCATCATGATTTTGAGGAAGGTTTATTTATACAAACATCTCTTAATCATCATTGTATAACAGTGCATGAAATGTTATGCCCTCACAATAAAAAATACAGATCATTAAGCATTTAAATTTCATCGCAATAGTCATATTATTGGGAGATAATATTAGGAGTGACCTATTTATATGAATTATGTAATATTCTGCATTACTGTTATAAAAAAAAATTTAATTGATTTACATCATCAGCTATCAGAATTTCATTTTACTTTCTAGCCATATAAATATCAGCAAATGCACTAATTGCATCTTTTTGCTCAGTTTGGGCCTCTAAATATATATTAAATTCTAAATTATCAAGTGAGGTGCTCACTATATAATATGAGCCAATAAAGCCTGATGTATCAAATGTGATACTAAAAAAAAAAAAAAAAAAAAAAAAAAAAACACCTATGCAAACTTTAAAAATATTTTGTCTAAAGGCTGAATAAACTGTTCCGGTTAAAACAGTTTGGGCTGTAAGGGAACTGCTCAGTGGGGTGCATTCTAGCTATTGCCTTGGGGGTAAACAGCTTGCATGAAACAGGATTATTTTAATTAATATTGGGCACCCATCCTGTTTTCTGTTCTCAGCTGTGTTTCTGTGCCAACACCTGCAGCTCTGAGAGTAAAATTAAGGGAAAGAACCCAGCCGCTTCATTGCGGGATACACTAAAAATGCCTGATTATACTGTATATATATATATATATATATATATATATATATATATACATTTATTTATTTATATTTATTTATTTATTTTTATTTATTTTTTATTTATTTATCTATCACACAGTATATATCTGTCGCTTTAATTGAAGGCCAGGGAGACATGTTTAACTTGGTTTGAGTTGAATAACGATATATAGTGTGTGAATTTTATTGAATTACTCATACTATATATTTTTATATAGACATGCCAGTGTTTTTTTTTTTTGTTTGTTTTTTTCAGTTATATTATATTGAATTGTAATTATACATAGCAGATATACTCATTAATCATGTCTCTAACTCAACAGGAGATCACTCGTGCTAACAAGGGGTGGGCGTTGGACCGTATGGTTCTGTGTAATGAAGTTACTAAATGGATGAAGGATGACATCACGCAGCCTCCTTCAGAGGGGGTGTATGTCTATGGCCTCTACCTGGAAGGGGCCGGCTGGGACCGCAGAAACTGCAAGCTCATTGATTCCAAACCCAAAGTGCTGTTCGAGATGATGCCTGTGGTCAGGATGTACGCAGAGAACAATGGTGAGTTTTAAATATAAATAAAACACTTTAAGAATGCTTTAAGAATACCTCAATACTTTAAAATGCAAAGACAAACAGCAAACATTTGGTAAAACTGCAAGGGAAACATTTCAAATAAAGGAGTAGAACAACAAAATGCCATTTACAACTAATGGATAACCTTCTGATATTCCATCAGAAATAAATTACAAGAAAGAGGTGAAAAATGAAAGTGGGATGTTGTGTGGCACACTTTGTGGACCCAAGTTCTAAAGTCTGATTAATCTCCAATATACAGTCGCTGGTTGTAGAATAATCCCAGATTACCATCTTTAACCAGCCGATTCTAACTATATCTATATTTGGCTGAAACAGTAGAATGCTAGAGCATTATTTTTAGCATGCTAGAGCAGTTTCCCCAAACCCTGTTCCTGGAGGCACACCAACAGTAGACATTTTAGATATCACTCTTGCGTGTTTGATTAGGAAGAGTTTGAAAAAGTGTAGTGTTGGCTTGTCTCCAGGAACAGGGTTGGGAAACACTCTGCTAGAGATATAAACTTTTTGGTAACACTTTACTTGAAGGGGTGTGCATAAGACAGACATGACACCTTCATAATTATGATATGACACAATGGCCTCATGACAGCCAATGTCAAAACCAACCACCTGACAGTTTATTGTAATGTTAACCCATAAAGCTAAGTGGTTTCTTAAATGTAATTTCTTGATAATTAATCTGTTGTGTCATGTTTATGACATATTTATGACAGGTTGTGTTGTCTTAGTAATGTCAAGTTGTCATGACAAAGACACTGCAGATTATGATGTATTGGTTTATGTCAAGGTGTCATTAGCAAGACATCTCAAACAATGTCATATTTGCATTAAAAAATGTCATAATTGAGCAAATGACACTTAATGACAGTTTTCATTCAGTACACATGCATGACAACCTCCTTCATATTCATGACTTGTCATGTCATGATAATGAAGGTGTCATGTCAGTCTTATGCACACCCCTTCAAGTAAAGTCTTCAAGTAAAGTGTTATCGTGATATAAAGTCATTTGCAAGAAAGAAAAAAAAACTCAGCATTATGAGATGAAAAGACAGCAATTACTTTCATTTTTATTCCGTAGTGGAAACGTCTCGGTTACGTATGTAACCCTCGTTCCCTGAGTAGGGAACGGAGACGTTACGTCAGAAGTGACGGAGATTGGGGGTTTCGCATAGAAAGCCAATCCTCTTCGAGTATTAAAACACGAGCCAATGGCATGCAATGCCTTGGGGCTGCGGAAATTTGCATAGCGTACTCCGCCCTACTCCGTGAGTATAAAAGGAGGAAGTGAACGCAACCGCAGTATGTCTTCGCTGAGGAGCCAAGACTGAACTCGGCCTCTACCCAGCGATACAGCAGAAGTGGCAGGGAGACGTAACGTCTCCGTTCCCTACTCAGGGAACGAGGGTTACATACGTAACCGAGACGTTCCCTATCGTAGTCACTTCGAGTTACGTCAGAAGTGACGGAGATTGGGGGTCTGTGCCATCACGCCATCTTCAAGCTGTCTTCCAGTGCCCTGCGAAAGACTGAACCCCGAGCCTTACCTCTTTTTTTTTTTTTTTTTTTTGGGGATCCGACTTTGACACAGGATTACCAAGGTACACTGGGAACATATCCCGAAGGGGACATGCTACCAGCTGCCTACCGAAGGGAGGACTTAAGAATACACATATGGCCACATAGGAACGCATATGGAACACTGGAGTACCAACCGCAGGTGGCTACTGATTTAAACTCCAGGGGTGGCAGATGGCTTGCCAAGGGAAGACACATGCTCAGAGAGGCTTACAGTGGATAATACACATGAGACGGTTACCATGGGGAACCGTGCGCATGGAGGCACCTAGCTAGCATCCAGAGCAACGCAGTGGTGCCCGCATCGTCGGTGCTGGAGGACTCAAGACTTCAATGGAAGAACTGAGGAAATATCGCACTTATCCAGTCCGGGGAGTGGAGTGGCGAGCAAGCGAAGACACCTGAGCGGATCCAGAACTGGCCGAAACGAGTACGTGAGAGGATACCGGCTCAATTCGCAGATTATAGAATCTGGCGAAGGTGTTGGGTGTCGCCCAGCCTGCAGCTCTGCAGATGTCTGTTAGCGAGGCGCCGTGCGCTAAAGCCCAAGAGGAGGCTACACTCCGAGTGGAATGGGCCGTCACACCAAGGGGGCACGGAAGGCCTTGCTGCTGGTAAGACAAAGCAATGGCATCCACTATCCAGTGGGACAGCCGTTGCTTTGAGAGAGCCCTTCCCTTCTGGCTCCCCCCATGACAGACAAAGAGCTGGTCTGAGGTCCTGAAACACTGCGTTCTGTCGACATAGGTGCGGAGAGCACGTACCGGACAGAGCAGTGCCAAGGCTGGGTCTGCCTCCTCCAGGGGCAGCGCTTGCAGGTTCACCACCAGGTCCCGGAGGGGAGTGGTAGGAACCTTGGGCATATATCCAGGCCGGGGTCTCAGGAATACGTGAGAGTAAGCCGGCCCGAACTCCAGGCACACTTCGTCAACAGAGAGTGCGTGCAGGTCCCTTACTCTCCTGATGGATACCAATGCAATCAGGAGTGCTGTCACATAGGACAGGGCAAAAACTCTACCGACTGCAAAGGCTCCAGGGGAGGCCTCTGCAGAGCACCCAGGTCTACTGAGAGGTCCCCAGAGGGCAGGAGGGGAGGGAGGCGGATTTAGCCCCCTCACTCCCCTCAGGAACCTGATGACCAGGTCATGCTTCCCATAGACTTACCTTTCACTGCATCATGAGACGCGGCAATGGCCGCGACATAATCCAAAGGGTGGAGGGCGACAGCCTGCGCTCCAACCCCTCTTGCAGGAAGGAAGCATGACTCCGATCGAACATCTCCGGGGGTCTTCTCAGCGAGAAGAACACCAATTGACGAAGAGGTTTCACTTCAACGCATAAAGGTGTCACGTGGACGACGCTCTTGCGGAAGTGATGGTTGCCGCCACCGCAGGTGGCAGCGAACTCAAACCTGCCTCGTCCCGTCCTGGAGCCACACGTGCAGCCTCCAAGATCGGGACGAGGGTGCCACAGAGTGCCCCGTCTCTGAGAGAGTAGGTCCGGTCTCAGAGGAATAGGCCAAGGAGGTGCTGTCGCGAGGAGCAAGAGTTCGGAGAACCACGTCTTGGTGGGCCAGTAGGGGGCTACCAGCAAGACCTGCTCCTCGTCCTCCTTGATCTTGCACAACACCCGTGCAAGGAGGCTCACTGGGGGAACGCACACTTGCGTGGGCCCCGTGGCCAGCTGTGCGCCAGCGCATCCGAGCCGAGAGAGCCGCGGGTCAGAGAATAACTGGGCGCAGTGGGACGAGTCCCGAGAGGCGAACAGGTCTAACTGTGCCTCCCCGAACTGGTCCCAAATCAGCTGGACCGACTGGGGATGGAGTCGCCATTCGCCGGAGATGGGACGGGCCCGGGACAGCTCGCGGCTGCCCGATTCCGGTCTCCAGGAATGTAACTGCACGAAGGGACCTCAGGTGCTTCTGACTCCATATCAAGAGGTGGCGGGCGAGCTGCGACAACCGGCGCGAGCGTAGACCCCCCTGGTGGTTGATGTACGCTACTGCCGTAGTGTTGTCTGAGCGGACAAGCACATGCTGGCCCTAGAGCACGCTCGGAAGCGGTGCCGGGCGAGCCGTACTGCCAACAGCTCGAGGCAATTGATGTGCATGAGGCGCTGGGCTCCTGTCCAGGAACCGGCGGCTGCATGCCCATTGCACATGGCACCCCAACCCGTGGTAGACGCATCCGTGGAGACAACGAGATGCCTGGAAACTCGCTGAATAGGGACCCTGTCCGTAAAAAGCTGAGGTTCGACCACGGGAAGAAGGATCGGCGGCACGTCGGAGTCACTGGAACTCGGAGCGAGCCGCGATGCCATGCCCACCTCGGGACTCGATCGCGAAGCCACAGCTGAAGCGGTCTCATATGAAGCAAACCGAGCGGCGTTGCCGCGGCCGCGGATGCCATATGCCCCAGGAGCCTCTGAAAAGTTTCAGTGGAACCGCACTCTTGCCCTCGAACTGTCGAAGACAAGCCAGCAGTGAGTGCGCGCGCTCGTTCGTGAGCTGCGCGGACATGGCGACCGAGCGAGTCTATCTCCATGCCGAGAAAAGAGATCCTCTGCACGGGGCAAAGTTTGCTCTTTTCCCGGTTGACCCGAAGGCCCAGACGGGCTAGGTGCCGTAGCACCAGGTCTCTGTGTTCGCAAACCTGAGCTCGAGAGTGTGCTAGTAACAGCCAGTCGTCGAGATAGTTCAGGATGCGAACCCCGTGTTCGCGAAGGGGAACAAGGGCTGCCTCGACGATCTTCGTGAAGACGCGAGGGGACAGAGCTAACCCGATGGGAGAACGGCGTACTGGTATGCCTGGCCCTCGAAGGCAAACCGAAGAAACGGTCTGTGTCGAGGGAGAATGGAGACATGGAAGTACGCGTCCTTCAGGTCGATCGCTGCAAACCAATCCTGATACCGAACACATTCGAAAATGCGTTTGGCCGTGAGCATTTTGAACGGTAGTCGATGGAGAGAACGGTTCAAAATGCGCAGGTCCAGGATCGGTCGTAACCCACCGGTCTTTCTTGGGGACAATGAAGTAGGGGCTGTAAAGCCCGGACCTCACCTCGGCTGGAGGGACCGTCTCGATTGCACCCTTCGCCAGCAGGGTCGCAATCTCCGCTCTCAAGACTGGGCATTGCCACCAACCATCGTGGAGCGAACTCCCCTGAAGCGGGGAAGAGACCGTGCGAACTGAATCGCGTAGCCGAATCCGATCGTTCTGATGACCCAGCGGGAACCCCGGGAGCGCTAGCCAGGCTTCCAGGAAGTGAGCCAACGGGGTCATGCGAACCACAGACGTCCCCCCGGAGGGGCAGCGAGGCGGGTCGACCGGCATGCGTGCAGGAGTTACCCCGTCCGGATGCACCGTCGAAACCCGCTCCCCGACAGAAGAGACCAGGGAAGGCAGAGCGTTCCACGGGGGTCTGTTCTGCCGGGGGTCTGGCGACAGAGGGGGAAGGGATTGGCGTAGCCGGGGACGACACACGCACCTTCCGCGCCCTCCGAGACAGAGAGGAATGAACGGGGCGACGCACTGGACGTCGTGCGCGCTCATTCCAGTCTGTGTGCTCAATGACAGTGTCAGCTTTTCCTCAACCAGCTCAGGGAGCTAGCTAGAACAAAAGATTCTCCACCGGCCCTCCACCGGGGAAGGAGGGCCCTGCCACCGCCTCCTGAGAAAAACCATGACACTATCACTGAGCGGCCCGCCTCAGGAACATCGCTTCGCCTGGCATCTAGCGGGGCACGCGGCTGAGGGGGGGCTCTTTTCTTGGGACGCTTACCTGTGGCCTCCTCCGCGACGCGAACCGGCTGAAGGCTGCTGCTGGGGCCCGCGTGGGAGGGAAGGGAGCCGCAGGGGGGCGTCCTCGGCGGCGAGCTGGCGGAGGCGTCCGAGCCGACGGCTGGTTGGAGGCAGCAGCTGGCCGTCGGGGCAGAGAAACCGCCTTCGTCTGCTCCTAGGCGGTCGAGAAGTGCTGGGCAAAGTCCTGGACCGCACCGCCGAACATTATGATGCTCCTGGACCACAGCGGTGGGCATCACCTGACCAAGGGAGCGAGCGACCGCCNGGTGATTTCAGGATGGAGAATGTTGCCCTCCTTCACTATTAGCTCTGGATATTTGTTACAGGGGCATGACCTGAGGACCTGAGCCAAAGTTTTGATGTCTTCAAAAGTGGCAGAGCCCATGTCAATCAGCTGGAAGGAAAGTTCTGGCAACTCGGCTGCACACGCTCTTGTCATGCCTAACAGAACAAACCCAGGGTTGATGTAGTCCACTGTGCTCTCAGACAACCTATAGGTTATTACTCTGATATTACCTGGGAAATTAAGTGCCTTGAGATATGTGACAAGCCTTCTGAAAATCTCACAACACCCTGCCATACTGTCCAAGACCTTCTCTGATTTGAGAGAGGTTAGGTCTGCATCAGACCACATGAACAGAACTTCCTGGAAGTTTTTCTTTACACTTGAAATTTTCAGCTTTGACAAAAGTTGTTCAACTCCATCTTTGAACGGTGTGTCAACATTTGAAGAAGAAACATATCTAGATGTTGGGTCCAAGTACTGTTGCAAAGTTTCAGAAATTCCTACCTGGTCAGAAAATACCAGTGCCTTAATCGGTGTATCAAATGTGGCAACTTCAGAGACGATACTGAAATCGTTGTGGAAGAAATACTCCTCGACTACTTGGGATCGACTTCCTAGCATTCTGATCTTCACATGCCTGAGTTCAACTAACACCCTACCCTGTTTGTTAGCTACGCAGCCACAAATGTCAAAATCATCTTCTGTCATATGCACTGCTCTCAGATAAACAACCATCTCCTCTTGCAATGGCTCAAATACAGTCAGGCTTCCGATTTTCACAGGATATTGGGGTCTTGTTGATACACGCCCTATACTTGCAAGAACAAGTTGCATGACATAATCCAAGACCACTGGGTGAACGTAATAGTCATGCAATTGAGGCAGTAATTCCTTTGGGACCTTCACAGCAGATATAGCCTCTCTAAATTCTTCCCCACAATAAACATCTGCATTATTCCTGAAGACAGACCCATACTCAAATCCTGCTTGACTTAGAAGTTTGTAGAGTTCTTCAGAAGTCATGTGGGATGTGCATCTTTTGTGAATACAGTCTAATGAAATGAACTGCTCTTCAGGAGTTCTACATGGTTTTGCTTCTACTGTGCCAAATGCAAAGACTGCAGAAGTAGACTGTATTTTAAAGTTACATGTGTTATCAGCCAAATGGTCTGATGGATCTAGATGTACTTTTATATCAGGGGCATTCTGGGTGAAAACGAATGGACTCTGGAATGTTATGCTGAGCTGCAGAGAATTTAGTGGGACCTTAGGTTTTGCATATGCCATGTAAGTTGCTAAACCCAACTCTGCATAAAATGCCCCAGGAATGATGGCGACCCCACTGTGTTTGTGGTGCTTCAGAAAGGCCACTGACTCAGAGGATAAATCACAGCTAAACACTGAACTGTCTGTACCCATTTGTGAAACTACTGGATGGTTGCCAGTGGGACTGATCAACTGCAATTTAGAAGCGAAGACGTCTGTCTTCACGTCATCAAACTGGTATCGTGGGTAAGGAATTGGTTCAGTCTCAAAACCGTTGTAGAACATTTCCCAGTCCACTTTGACCCCAAGCTCAAACAGTTTGGAAACAAGAGCAAGCATGGTCTCGTGATCTTTATCAGGCTGCACTGAGGGAATCACAGTGAAGTCATTCCCCAGAGTCTCAGTGATGTACCTCTGCAAAGATCTTCTTGGACCAATTTCAACAAATATCACACTCCTTTTGTTTTTAGCTGCAGACTGTACAGCTTGTTCGAATTCAACTGGTTCTCTGATATTCCTTGCCCAGTATTCACCAGTGAGAAAATCTGAGGAACACAAACTAACACCTGTCACTGTTGAGAACAATTCTGTCTCCAGATGATGCGCTTGCAATGAGCCTATACTCTGTTCCACTTTGGATAAAATGGGATCCATCTTGTGACTGTGGTATGCTGCAGGTACATCTAAAATGCGTAGGAACAAATCTTTTCCTCTGGGTGAATTGCTCAAATTCTGTTGCAGCCTGTCAATGTCATCTGCATCTCCTGAGAGGGTGCATGACTGAGGGCTGTTATAAGCAGCCAGACAAACCCTTCCTGAATAAGATGGAAGAATTTTCAAGACTTCAGAAACAGCCATATTACTGACTGCCAGCATCTTCCCTCCTGTCACAGTGCTTTGCAAAGAACTGCGATAGTGTATAACTTTCACTGCATCTTCAAGTGACAGCAAACCAGAACAATGAGCTGCAGCGACTTCTCCAATAGAGTGCCCCAAAACAGCATCAGGACTGATGCCCCAGTGTTTCAGAAGTTTGACAACAGCAACCTGAATAGCAAACAGAAGAGGCTGGACAATCTTTGGATCAGAAGGCTCTGTACCTTTCTCAGATTCACTTTCCAGCATCTCTGTCAAATTCAAACTTCTATAGCTTTGCAACAGTTTTTCAATCTTCATGATTTCCTCTCTGAAAACTGGCTCTTGTTTTAGGAGCTGCTTGCACATACCCTGATATGTAACACCATTGCCACAAAACACAAAAACTAGCTTGGAGTCGGTCTTTGATTGTGCAAGCTTTTTCTCTACAGCAGCAGTAAGTTTCTCTTGCAGATCTGCCAATGATGATGTTTGAAATACTTTCCTGTATTTGTGTTTTAAGTGACTTCTTCTACATGCGGATGTGTACAGTAAAGACTGTAGATCTGATATTTTCCCAGTGCCGATCTGTTCTGCCGTATCTTCAATAATATTTTTCATGGATTTTTCTGAGGCTGCAGAGACCACAAAATACTGATGGGATTTGCTCATCATCTGATCTTTTGGCTTTTTTGACTGCACATATTGTCTGACAATTGCATGTGCATTTGATCCACCAAACCCAAAGTTATTGATTCCTGCTGACCTCCCTGCTCTACGGTCACTAATCCATTTTTCTGCTGTGGTGGGGATTTTAATATTGAGAGATTTAGCATCTATGCTTGAGTTTTCCATGGAATAGAACAATGATGGCACAATGGTTTCATGCTGCATCATCAGAAGAACCTTTATGAGCCCTGCGACACCTGCGGCAGATTCTGTGTGTCCAATATTACTTTTGACAGAACCAATGATGAGTGGCCCTGACTTCTGAGGTCTTGCTTTGGCAATGACTTTTGAGATGCTACCTGCCTCTATTGGATCTCCAATTGGAGTCCCAGTCCCATGAGCCTCAATGTACTGGACACTAGTCAGGTCAGTCTCTGTTGAGTAGATTTTTCTAAGTAGCTCCTCCTGCTGTACCATGGATGGTTTGGTGATTGGACTAACGCTGTGGCCATCTTGATTAACTGCAGTTTTGCCGATGATACCCCAAATATGATCATGGTCTTCAAAAGCCTGTCAAAATACAGACAATATATGTTTGTTTTTTTATTATTTTTGCAGCACTTTACCATTAGGTACATTACTGTCAGAGTGGTGTGTTTATTTGAGACAATCTTTTAATTTACCTTTTTCAGAGGCTTCAATAGAACAACCCCGCATCCTTCACCTCTGCCATACCCATCTGCTTTACTGCTGAAAGGTTTACTCGTTCCATTAGGTGAGATCATTTTTGCCTTGGAAAGAGTCACAAAAATGGTTGGCTCCAATATGCAGGTCACACCACCACACAAGGCCATATCACAGTCTCCTGTTGAGTGGAATACAGATAACCACAATAGGGGTGTGAGGGCAGCCTAACGGCTAATAATTACAATTCAAAAGCAGAACATAAATGAAACATAAAGCATCTAATGTCTTTTGCACAGGACTGTATATTATTACACATGCAATATGCAGCATATGGTCAATTTTCCTAAATTGTGCAAATAAGTTGATCCACGGGGTTTACATGCATATGTTTGAAGACTACCTTGTTTTATGGCTTGACAAGCTAAGTGAAGGGCGACGAGGGATGAGGAGCAGGCACAGTCAATGGACAGTGAGGGGCCTGTGAAGTTGAACATGTATGAGATGCGGTTGGCAGCTATGCTCATAGCGGCACCAGTGCCATTGGTGTGGTCTATGTACTTTGGATTTATCCTCACACTTGCCAGCTCAAAGTCTCTGTTCATTAGACCTGGAAAACAAGCAAACAAAAACCATGTCAGACATGTTAGCTGCTTTTTACCCATATCCACTTACTGTATCCCTATTACACTTTAATCTGAGGTGATTAAATGCCTTTCTCAAGGTCACAATAGTTGCAGGGCTCGCACAAGCAGCATATCAGTAGATGTAGCCACCTCATGTGGTTTTTGTGCTGCGACACGAAGGAATTAAAGCACAAGTGCACAGATTGAGGTCAGGGAAAGTAAGTTCCCTCTAAAGAAACTGGGGAATTGAAGAGAAAATCTGTGGTATTTAGCAATGCATCTTAACCAGAGGTTGCTCCGAAGGTACTCCCCCCATGCAGTTTTCACTTGGATTAAAAGACACCAAAAGGGACACCTTTTTCATTATTTATCCTATATTTAGTTTGTATGTTACCCAAGAACACTCCTGTTCGCGTCCCACTGGCCTTCTCCATTGGTATCCCAGCATCCTCTAGGGCCCTGTAGGTGCACTGCAACAGAAGTTTGTGCTGAGGGTCCATGGTGATTGCTTCAGCATTAGTGATGCCGAAGAACTTGTGGTCAAACTCATTCAAGCTACAGAGAATAAAAGATAAATGATGGGTTACTGCTTTTGGAGTTCACATACAGGGATAGTTCACCCAAAAAGGAAATTATCCCATTATCACTCATCCTCATGGGACACAGTTCATGGGCATTAGAACAACATTAGTAAAGATTAACAGAATCTTTTTTTGACTGAATTATCTCTTGAATTACTTTTTATTTTATCACTATAACTCTGAAAACAAAATAAAGAAAACATAGTTGTGCTACAGAAGATGTTTTTTTTAAATTTCTAACCAGTGTACTCTAATCCTACCCAACGTATAATACAGACACACCCAACACCACTACTAAACCTACCCATGCGTATCGTATCCACGTAAAAACGAATTTTCGCTATAAATTGCACGATAAACACACTGCTTGCTATGTTCTACGTTTAAAAGTAGTCTACGTCAAATAATTATTACAATAAGTTGGAGACATGTGGGTTAGATATGATTTTGACCACTTTATTAAGTTTTGTTTTGTACAAAGCCTTTCTTAAATTTTTGTTTTGTTTTGTATCATTTGTATCTTATTTTTAATCAATGTTTTATCAACCAATTGCCTGGATTTAATAAATAAGAAGCAAATATAGCAGACCATATAATCAGGACATGGAGGCGCCGGTGTGATTGCATTGCTTGTGAACTGGAGCTCTTCATAAATGAGCCGAAACTCAGCGTTTAAGCTGCCTCACAGACATGAGAAATATACAGTACAGAAAGCTTATAAATGTCTAATTTTAAACAAAACAATTCAAAACGAAAAGAAACCGACCACTCTCTGCTTATGTATCCATATGAAAAGTGGATTTCTCTCTATTGGCGCGTTAACTACTGCGGTCACTATTGCAGCCAACAGACACTAATCAACAATTAAAATGTCTCCTTGCTATATTTGAAACGATCATAATCATTACTTTTGCCGGTTCCTTGTTGCAGCTTGCGTTATTAGCAGCGCCACCCTCTGGTTACATGAACACAGCGTCACCACCGAATCAGCACCGAAAACATCAGGATTTTTTTAGACAATAATCGCACAACCTATTCGATATTCTATAATTAAATTAACAAGTCGAATATGCGAAAATCGTGACTCATCCCTACTGCTTTATTAATGTATCCAGTATAAAACCCGGACACCCCAACACAAATGTGTCTTTTTGTTGATGACTGTCCTACTACAGGATTTAACACAGAGTAACAGCTCACTACCAGTTACAGAAGACACTGTAACAGTCTGGCACTGGCAATTCTAGTTGCATTTTTCATCAATTCATTTCTTAAATTATCTATTGACTATGTTCTGGCCTGCCATCTAGTGTCAAAAATATGTTTTGCCCCATGCCAACCTTACTTGCCGACCCCTACTGTATGCTATCACCCCAAAATTTGATTCAGAGACAGCTCACATGTAGTGGAGGTGGAGCTTAACCAAAAAATTGTTTTCCTCCTACCATATTTCCTTCCTGGGTTATTGCATGTCAAATAAGAAAGATATGTAAAATTATAATCAAATGTATTTATATTTATTTTTTGCCATTTATTAGCAGTTTCTCACCATGAGAATGACCAAATGTAAAGTAATTTATATTTTTTTTAAAATTTAAAAAAACAATCTTGCATACCTAAATAGTTTTGGAGTTATAAGTCTTTACTTTTGTGTATGCCACTCAGAAAAACAACTGTAAAAATGCCTTCTGTGGGCTGTTGCACAAAGCTGGCTTCAGTTTCTACCCAGGTAAGTTCAAGATTAGTTTGAGCAAACTCTGTTTTTCAGGCTCAAGAAGGTGGATTGTGTTTTAGCAGGTTTCATCGCCATGGTAACTTGTGCTACACGGCTAGCCTGCTCCGCAAACCCAAACTCGACCAATCAGCTGTGAGTAAAGATGCAATAAAGCAACTCCCCCTGTAGCTCTCACTCCAAATTAAAGCAGTTTAGAGTGGAAACATTTTACAGACAAAATTGCCCACCTTTTTCAGAATTTTTTTTTGTGTTATATTTATATTATATGAATTATTAATATGTATAATTCATATAATATAATTATATAATTATTAAAAATCCGAGCTTCTAACTCCACCTGGAGCGTGTTATTTGTTTTGCAAAAATCCACCGCTCTGGTACAATCAGCGCGTGAGATCTGTCAATCACAGGTCGTGCACACGCCACCACTCACGCAAGTCACAATCTGTCACGTATCTGGTCCATTCACTTCCGGACATTCACCACCAGAGGTCTCTCACTCACAGCATGGACTCTTGCACTTCACTACAATCTCCATCATTCATTGCACTGACGATTCACACAGACGATTACACTAATCACGCTCACACTTGAGAACCATCACACACCCTCTCACACCCTTTATAAGCCTTGGACTTCCTCTCTCTGTTGCCGGATATTGTTTGTTTGTATGGACTATATTGTCAGCGTTTAACACTCAGAGTTTCAGAGTTTTTACACTTTTTAAGGGTGGCTCAATAAACGCTAAATGTGTTATTACATTTTGACCTGTTTTGAACTTGACAAACATAAATGAACATCATACGTTCTTTTTTATGAGGGCAAAAGAATTGAAGTCTTACCCATCAATAAGTGCAGCCTTTGCAGTGTGTGTCTTTCCCGCTTTACTCTCATCGGGATCGTACCATCGAGAGAGATTAAACCTGTCCTCTGGGATCTGAACCGCACAGTTCTCTCCGTGAAGGAGGACTCGCCAGAAGTTCTCAAGTCCCTCGCCTAAAATAGATGAGAACGTACAATATAAGTACAATTTAGACCAAAATCATAACATGAACAAATAGTAAAACAGTAAATTGTTAACAGTAAATTGTTAACAATTACCTCCAGGAAAATGGCATCCAATGCCAACAACAGCGATTTCTACTTCATCATCCATCATGATTCAAATGCTGTGTGGGATTTGAAATACATTTGATTTTTCAATAGACAGCAAAAAACAAACACTGAGACAGATAACTACATTTTCATTCATGGCATTTAATATTGTGGCTTTCTTCTTCCTTTAGGTTTGTTCTTTGAACAGAAAAAAAAATTCAAGAAAAGGTGTAAAAATGTCCTGTATAATGTAGAGACAATCTGAAAATATGATAAAATATGGAATCTAATTTGAGCTATGGCAAAGTATGGCAAGTAGAAAGAGAATCCACTGTATATAAATTAAAATATATATATATTCATTGTTTTAATCATATTTAAAATATATATTGATAAACTGAAGCAGTCTATAATTTTTTGTTAAATTGTTTTTCAATTTAGCTCAGAGAATGAAAAAAAATAAAATATACACAAAATTAACTGAAAAAAGTACTTGCCAAGGTATTCATGTTGAATCTTGTCTCTGTGAAAATACTTCCATGAGGCTGAACTGCCCAATATTTATGTACTGTAGTTAAAGGAGGAAACATGAAAATTAGCTAATTATTGACTAGTACATTTCATTTACAGAAAATCGTTATCTGTTGGTCAGCCTTTTCACAAGATCAACCCGTTTCTTAAGAAAACTGTATTCAGTCACTTATGTAAGATACTGTCATTTACCCTGGAATAGATAAGATTTTTATCACATGTTTGATATTTACGCATAAACCAACTAAATGCAGCTTTGAATTAGCCAAGTTAGCAGAATGGGCTAGTGATATCAAAGACTGAATAGTTCATATTTTTCTTCTCAATCCTGACTAAATTAGTTAATGAATTTAGGTACTCAGAACATTAGAAATTGGGTGTTATATGTTTGATATTAATCTGTACTTTGACAACCATATTTCCAATGTTTGCAAACATCAAGCGACACTGACTTCAGCTCAAAATTGACACTATTGTCTGTATTGTGCTGAATATGAATTTGCATCATTGATTATTATTTTCCTGTTCATTACTGTGAAGCTGCTTTGACACTCTTGAAAAAGAGATGTTATATCTCAATGAGACAAACCTGGTTAAATAAAGGTTAAAAAAAACAAAAAAAAAACAATATGTTCATTATAAAGCATTATAGAGTGTCCTGAGAGGAAACATGATTGCGATTTCATCAAGATTAAAAAGAGAGAGGCTTGCGGAACAATTAGGATTGGAAAACTAAATTAGAGAAAGAATACCAAAAAACAATATGTTGAAAGAAAATAGGCAGAAATTAAATGACTTATTATAATAATAATCATAATTAAAGCTGCAAGCAGCATTTATCGGGGTTCAAGAATTTAAGCCCCTTAAGCACAAATAAATTTAAAGACAATAAGTTTTATTTTGCAAGAATGTAAACACTTGTAAACATGAAGGAAACCAAAGGTAATTTATTAAACATCATACAAGAGATTCTGTAAAGAATAATTTTGTACAAATGTAAATAATATAGGTTGGATTGATATTTATAAGTTCATCTTGATAATGCATTGTCAGCATTTGGAAGTTTATTGTATCCTTTGGTGGACAAACATGCACCTATTAAAAATGCAGTAAAGAATGTGGTGAGAAGCATTCACATGTCTCCGTTATAAATGGATCAAACAGCACTGATGTGGAAACAGGAAGAAACATTGTGCCTTGAATGAACTATCCAGTGTCCACAGATCAGCAACACCATGGATTTACTGTAGTAACACTAAATGTAACCATGGAAGTTTGGCAGGAATAGTAAGGTAGGCTACAATGCTTTCAAGTTACGTTACGTCGGTTTGGTGAGGGGGGCGTGGTTTTCACGTCGTCTGTAGTGAGAGACGAGTCAATGAGCTGTGCGGTGAGTAAGTGCTGATGATGAACACCTGTGTCTGATTGCAGTGATTGGCATGGGGAGACTGTTAAAAGCCACACCGCGGGAGAAGTCGAGAGAGAGAGATCTGGCTGGAACTCGTGCGCTGGAAAGAGGAACTGAAGCTGACTGATGTTGAACGTGGAAAGAGTTTTTGTTTAAAAGAATCCGTGCTGTAGCCGGGCTACAGTGAATGTGCTGTGTGCACGCCTTTTGTTTTTGTCTGAGTCTGAATAAATAAAGTTACGCTCGAGTTCCAGTCTCGTCGACCCCGTCTCCTTTTTCCTACCCTCCTGTTTGAACCGTGTTACACTAGTGCCGAAACCTGGGTGGAAGGAGGCTGCCGCCGCCATGCAGAGCCCGTCAGGATCACCGTTTGCGGAGATCATCCAATCACTCGCGGCTCTTCAGAGAGACCAACACCAAGCCCCGATGACCATCAAAGACGAGCACGAGCTACGCTTCCAAGCGCTGCTCCAAGGCCAGCAGAAGGACCGCAAGTTGTTCCGGAGCTGTTTAGACCGGGAGATTCCGGCCACCCCTCTGCAGCGTCGGCCTCGCCCCTTTCATTGTCAAAGATGGGTCCACAGGACGAGCAGGAGGCGTTCCTGGACCTGTTTGAAAGGTCGGCTGAGGCCCGGGGGTGGCCCCAAGAAGACTGGCCACTGCGGCTCATCCCACTGCTGTCCGGGGAGTCACAGATCACCGCCCACCAACTGCCAGTCTCGAATCTCCTGGTCTATCAAGATCTACGGCGTGCCATTCTGCAGCGGGTCGAACGGACCCCTGAACAACACCGTCAACGCTTCAGGTCCCTGACCCTCAAAGAGTCCGGCTGGCCCTTCGTGATGGCACAACAGCTCCGGGACTCCTGCCGCAGATGGCTGATGGCCGGGGGAAGCGACTAGGTGGTACTGGAGCAGTTTATTGCGAAGATGCCAAAAAAAACTGCTCAATGGGTCCAGTGCCACCGTCCGACGTCGCTGGACCAGGCCATCCAACTGGCGGAAGATCACATGGTGATCTGGGGTCGGCGAACCCCTCCCTCCTGTCTCTCCCTCTCTGTCTCTCTCCCCCAGCCTCTCTCTCTTCCCCTTCTGCCAAACCTGTTCCTTCTCCCAGGTCTCGGGGTCAGCGCCGAGATGGAGGTCCGGGTGGCCGGGAGACACCAGTTCGGCCGGGAGGATGACGCAGAGGGGGACGATTGCTGGGGATTTCTCCACCCTGGCTCCGGTGGCACCGCTCTCCCAATCCCTTGCCCCGCTTCCCGCCCCTGGGACAGGTACTCCGCCCGGACCAACCGCTCTCTTACCTCTATTTTTGCGTGATTAAAGATGACCCAAGGGTGACCCAAGACGCCCAGACAAAGGAAGATACAACCCAGTTATTAGTACCAAAGAGCCGTCAAGAAATGCTTTTACAGGCGGCACATTGTAATCCGATGGCCGGACATTTAGGGCAAACGGCGACACTAAACCGTCTCAAACGGATGGTCTGGTCGAACGTTTTAATTGTACTTTAAAAACCATGATTCCAGCTATTTATCCCATTTATCAAGTTCATTCACGATAAATGGGATAAATGGGCTAACCCAATGTCGATAACACTCTCACCAAAGACTTCACATCCTGTCTGGACAGTTTCGGACTTCATCAATACATAAACTTTCCAACTCACACTAAAGGACATATTTTGGATCTAATCTGCTGTTCAGGTGTTACACCTATTAACTGTAAAGCAGATCCTTTCCCTTTCTCTGACCACATGCTGCTCTCGTTCAGCATTAATCTTTCACTCTCTAAATCTAAACTCCCGCGTACTATAACATTTCGAAATATTAAGGATATCAACTTGGACAATTTATCTACTGGCATCACTAGCCTTCCCAGAATCGACTGTTTTTCTACCCCGGATGAACTGCTCTCTCACTACAATTTTAATCTTCATAACCTCTTTAATAACCTTGCGCCACTGAAAACCAGGACAGTTTCTTTTACCCTCTCTGCACCTTGGTTTACTCCCACTCTTAGAGAATTGAAAGCAAAAGGAAGACAACTGGAAAGACTTTACAGGAAAACCAATCTCACTGTGCATAAGGACATGTATTCTAAGCACATTCTCCTTTACAAAGATTATATTTCTAGGGCGAAAACCACTTACTATTCTGGTTTAATCAGTTCAAGTGAAAGAAATTCAAAGGTCCTTTTTTCCCTTGTTACAAACTTCACAAAACCACGGGATCCACTTCCTCCTCACTTGTACTCTTCTGATTTTTGTAATTCTATATTATCATTTTTCTCTTTAAAAATTGAACACATCCACCAGCAACTTATTTCTACTTCTGGTCTGAACTCACCAGTCTCCATTTCATTTGCTCCCACTGATTTATTTACAGCATTTGCCTTACCATCAATAAATGAAATTTCGGAACTCATTAAAAAATCCAATTCTTCAACCTGCAGATTAGACCCCCTTCCTACTGCTCTTGTGAAAGCTATTACTCCTTTTTTGTCCCCTCTCATTACAAACATTATTCATTCTTCTCTTGTCACTGGAATTGTTCCTTCTTCTCTTAAAACAGCTGCTGTAACTCCAATTCTTAAGAAACCTGGTTCAGATCCCAATAACTTTAATAATTTTCGTCCTATCTCAAATCTCCCATTCATCACCAAAATTCTGGAAAAAATAGTTGCTGCTCAACTTCATACACATCTTTCCGAGAATAATCTATATGAACAATTCCAGTCTGGTTTCCGTTCTCTTCACAGCGCAGAAACGGCACTCCTTAAAATCACTAATGACCTTCTTCTGGCTGCTGATTCTGGTTTATTATCTATTCTTCTTCTGCTTGATTTGAGCGCAGCATTTGATACAATCTCACACACTATCCTATTAGACAGACTTTCCTCTATCGGTATTACTAACACGCCTCTTAACTGGTTTTATTCTTATCTCTCTGGCCGCACTCAGTTTATTCAGTTAAAATCATTCACTTCTCATTCAGTTTCTGTCACCACAGGAGTGCCCCAGGGCTCTGTCCTGGGACCCCTGCTTTTTATTATTTATCTTCTTCCTCTTGGTCACATTTTCCGTAAATATCAGATTCAGTTCCATTGCTACGCACAGGG